TTTTTATTGAGGAACGCACTTGTTCAGTTGTTCCACTTCATTTTGCTTGAGTAATTACTGTAGATGCCAGATCATACATTTTGGCTCCAAATAGAGAAAGCAGACCAAGCAGAGCGGATCAAGCAGGAGAAATGCAGAGCTAGCGGATCGAGCAAGAGAAGTGTAGATCTAGTGGATCATGCAGTTCAAAATATATGTTTGAATGGTGAAAACGAATAAAAAATAGTACAAATATATATTAAAATAATAAAAAACCAAAAATTTTGGAATAAAAATGTTAACTAATTAAAAATTTCTAAAATTCTCTAAACCCAGTTATTGTGTCTATTAGCGTCATTTCAAAAGATGTTTTCTTTGACTTCCACGTGAACCACTCACGTTAGAAGAACATGAGTTTCCTGTACGTCTTTGTGTAGTACTTCTCCATCTTCTTCTACCTCGTTGTTGAACTCTAGAATAAGGAATTTGGATCGGGTCAATCGCTGAAGAAGTATGGCGCATATGTGCATGGGTAAACTGATTTGAAGGACATGTCTCATCATCAATGCTAACACGATACACCTCTTTGTTTTCTTGTGGTTTTAGAACTTGATTGTCTGGCATTCCAGCATCATATGCTTCTGACTAGAAATGACTTTCATCGTTAGATGGACCCTCGTTAACCATCTCTTCTCTTCTTTGATTCACAGAGAATTGAGCTTGTGATTGAACGTTATATAATTTGAAACAACGTTGCATCACTTCCCAATGATCTGGTGGCTTTCGCTTAAATGATCTTATAATTTTACATACCTGTTTGAAATATTTAAAGCTTTTAGTTAACAATTTTTTTGTATACATAAAATTTACTTTATTTTTTTTTCGTTGTAAAAAAAATCATGCGCACTTACTTCACGATCTTTCTACCATAATTCAATGCAGTTATCACAGATGTAGTAGGATCAAGAGAAATTTTGAGATATGCCACATATCACATGCCACTTCCTTTTTTTCATATTCCAAAAATATCATCTTTTAAAAACTGTCTCAGA